ATAAAAGTGTTGATCCGGATATGAAGGACCTTAAAAGGAAATTAAAAGGATTGAATGGTTTGAAGGAAGACACAGAATCTATAATGAGATCAGAGCTGCATCCGAGAAAGAAACCCAAGGTGGAAGTCCAAATATGGTTTGAAAATGTTGAAAGAGTCAATGGCGAAGTGCAAGACCTTGAGGAAAGAATTGGTGAAAGCAATGCTTTTACACGTGGATTTCACAGAGAAGATGTGTCAAAGAGTATAAAGGAAGTTGAAGAACTAATTAATCAACAGGGCAGATTTCATGGAGGTTTGGTGGTTGATAATCCTCAATGGATCGGACAAGTTTTATCGACAACAAATTTATCAGGTGAAGCTGTAAAGGCCTGTGTTGAAAAGATCTGGCAGTGCTTGATGGATGATGGGGTTCAAAGATTGGAGTTTGGGGCTTGGGTGGCGTGGGGAAAACAAGCATCATGAAGGTTATAAACAACCAACTCTTAAAAGAGACAGGGAAATTCGATACTGTGATTTGGATCACTGTATCCTACGAGACGAGTATTGCTAAACTGCAGACAGACATTGCTAGTAAAATTGGTGAAGAATTTTCTGGTGATGAAGATGAAACTACAAGGGCAGGGAAGCTCTTTGAAAATTTGTCTCAGAATGGTAGGTTTGTGATGATCTTGGATGACCTATGGGCGAAGGTTTCACTTGAGAGAATAGGAATTCCTGAGCCGTCAAATGGGGCTAAATTAGTGTTGACAACAAGAAAAGACGATGTGTGTCGACAAATGGGTTGTAGAGAAATTAAAGTGAAGCCTCTGACGGAAGAAGAGGCATGGAATTTGTTCTTAGAGAAGGCGGGCTGTGATATTCTCAATATTCGAGGGGTGGAACCAATTGCAAGATCAATTGCTAAGCGTTGTGCAGGTTTGCCCTTGGGAATAATTACTATAGCTTCTTGTATGAAGGGCATTTATGACATCTCGGAATGGAGGAATGCACGAGAAGAATTAAAGATACCCAAAAAGAGTGTTAATGGATTCGAAGAAGAAGTGTTCCAACAATTACAATTTAGTTATGATCGTTTAAAAAATCCAAAACTTCAAGACTGTTTCCTCAGTTGTGCATTATATCCAGAAGATGAGGAAATTGAAGAGGAAGATCTTATCCAACTTTGGATCGGAGAAGGGCTAGTGGAAGAAATGGATAGCATGCAGGCAGAGTATGACAATGGTCGTGCAATAATGAATAGACTCATCAGCAATTGTTTGTTGGAAGTTTTTACTGAAAGAGGAAATGGAAGACATGTAAAGATGCATGATCTTTTAAGGGACATGGCATTGCGTATTGCAGAATCTCGATTCTTGGTAATAGCCGGCACGATGTTAGAAAAGGCACCAGATGTGCAAGAATGGAGCATGAATCTAGAGAAAGTTTCGTTGATGAGGAATAGGCGGTTATATATACCCTTGGAAATGTCACCCCAAAGTGCCCCAGGCTCACAACATTGTTGTTGTCTGGTTGTGATATAGAGAGTATTCCAGAAGGATTTTTCAAGCATATGGATGCACTTAAGGTTCTTGATCTTTCCGGAAATCCTATCGAGTGTCTTTCAATTTCCTTGTCGAAGTGTCCCGGGCTCACAACATTGGTGTTGTCTGGTTGTGATATAGAAAGTATTCCAGAAAGCTTCTTCGATTATATGAATGAACTCAAGATTCTTGATCTTTCCTTCAATCGTATCAAGAGTCTTCCGCATTCCTTGTCAAATTTGAAGAACCTCACTTCATTGTTGCTTGCTTCTTGTAAAGATTTAGGGAATGTTCCATCTTCGTTAAATCTTGGAGTTTTGAAGAAGTTGAATCTTCGAGGAACAAAGATCAAGGAAATCCCGAATGGAGTACTTTCAAGATTTTGTTGTCTTCAAGACTTGATCGTCGGTGAAACTCTGATAAATGGAAAGGAGGTTGGTGGATTGAAGAAACTGCAGGGAAGTCTTGAAGGGAGGTTTTATGACTGGCACAACTTAAATATGTATCTCCAAGCTTGTCGTGGCCGAGAAGAGCCTCGTGAATACATAATCTCTGTGGGAGCAGTAGGATTTCCTATGTTTCTTAGGAGGGCAAGTAAAGAAATTGTCGTAAGCCGTTGTAACATCTATAACTACCAGATTGTGCTTCCACGTGACATTGAGGGATTGAATATTGGGTATTGCAATGTTGATTGCAGTGAAGAATACCCGCTTTTCTCCAGGTTTATCCTCTTCTCACTTTCCTCCTTTTCATCTCTTAGATCTCTTCAAATATGTAGTTGCAGAAATATGAAAAAGTTGTTCTCCCCAAACTGTGTGCCGCTAAATTTACAAGAGCTTAGAGTTGTTGGGTGTATGCAATTGGAGGAAATAATAACATCAGAAGTTGAACCGGAGAAAAGAGGAATGGTTATCACGGAGTTTCATCTTCCACAATTACGGATATTGTCGTTGCTTGGTCTACCGGAATTGAAGAGCATTTGCAGTGCTGGTGGAGTACTGGTTTGTGATTCTCTTGACGAAATTGAGATTGTATACTGTCCAAAATTAAAGAGGATGGGTCTTAATCTTCCCAAACTTGATAATGTCCCATCATCTGCATCTGCAAATCTTTCTCTTTCAATTGAGATAGAATCAGAGGAGTGGTGGGAATCATTGGAATGGGATGGTCCCCAACCCAAGTCTCTTTTCGACCCCTTCGTGAGCTTTTTGTGGGAGGATCAAACGGAGCAGTTGGGTTTGTAACATTGGCAGTGTTTTTATTTTCTTATTTAGGCGAAGCTTAATTTGATGAATTCAAACTGTATTCATACTTCATTTTATTATATTATTTGCACACTTTCTATGGTGAAATTATTTATTTAAATTTAGTTGACGTGGAATTACTACTCAATTATCTTTAATTATTTCTTTTAGGGGTGTTAATGAATCGAGTTTGAACGAACAAAGTTATATCCGTGTTCGTTTGTTTGTTTTTGAAGGTATCCATATTCGGTTCGTGTTTATTTAAATTTTTAATGTTGTGTTTTTTCGTTTATTTATTTTTGAAGGTGTTCGTGTTCGTTTATTTATCCTTTGCGAGTATGTTCGTTTATCGTTTACCAACATGTTCGTTTAGTGTTTGTTTATCATTTGTTTATATGTTCGATTTTTAGTTTTACTTTTGCAAGCTAAAAAAAATAGTAAAATTATGTCATTAGTCCTTACACTCCTTAAAAATTTGTAATTTAAATTTAACTTTTATTATGTGTTTAATATAGTCTCTACTTTCATCAATATTTAAAATAATGAAAGGAGAACTAAGTAAATGAGTTTGTTCATGAATATAAATGAACGAGCCAATAAATGAACTCATAAATAAGTTTGTTTGTTTGTATTCGTGCGTTTATTAAATAAACATAAAAAAATTGTTAATACTCGTTTGCAATTCCATTTGAAATTACTGCTCCATGCTGGAATTGGAATGAAATTTCATTTGAAATTGCAAGGTGGTGGTCGCAAGTACCACTGTGCGTCTCCGAGGGACTAGACGAAGACGCATTCTCTTCAATGTTAAAGCTGTAGCAAATACTCTATTCGAAAAAATAATTTGTGATATGAATTATTTAACGAATTCTTTTTTTTTCAAAAGTATTATTATAAAAATTTTGCCCGATAATTTTGATCAAAATAATTCTTAAGAAAAATATCAATAAATATAAGATCGTGTCTATAATATTCATGTTTAAGATTTAAGGATGCTAAACAACGGAAATGAAAATAGCAACCCCAAATTAAAATTATATTTGACGGTTGTTTCCTCCACTAATTTTCTTAGGTTAAAATTAAATTAATAAAATAAAAACAAATATTTGAAGGTTATATCATTAATTTATTTTAATTAAAATGAATTTTATCGATTATTAATCTATTTCTTTTTTATTTATTAAAAAAACTTCTAAGACACAGTAGAACTATTTTAGTTTTATTTCAGTTATTTACTTTTTAAATAATTTGAGCAATTATAAAGTTGTATTTTTAAAAAAAAATTTAGTCTATGATAATTAGGGATAGTTATGATACTCGAACCCGACGGTTCCAACCGACTCGACCCGATCGGGTCTGTTTTTTTAATTCGGGTTCGGGTCGAGTCGATTTTTTAAAGGTGATGTTCGGGTCAGATTCGGGTTTAGGGTGAAAATACCCTACCCGACCCCAAATGTTTTTTACCTTATATATTTAGGAATAATTACAATAATACCCATCTATATATTATTTTTCAATTAAATCACTGTTTTATTGAATAAAAATAATATATTATTATTATTTCGGGTCGGGTCGGATTTTATCTCAAAAAAGTAGAGTCGGGTGAAGGGTATATATTTTTAGGGTCGGGTCGGGTCGGGTGAAGGATGTAAACTTTTCGGGTCGGGCCATGCCCATCCCTAATGATAATACACATTTATTAGACGTAGTTATTCGAACCTAGGTTCCTAATAAGAATAACAACCCTTTCATTACTTGAATTCAACTTCAAAGTTCAATTTGGTATCAGTTTTTATCCAATTAATTACTTAAAATTAGTTTCTTAGTTCAAATTAGTACATAAATTTAACTTTTTACTCCAAATTGATATTGGGAGTAAATTACTTATTTAAACCATGAAACTGAGTTTAGGTATTAATTTAAACCAAAAATATAAGCTGGGGTATCTAATTTGACCACAAAAAGTTTAGATAAATTAAGATAACTAATTAGACCAAACAGACTTAAGTACCAAATTGAATATTGAAGTGAAACTTAGGTACCACAATATACATTTACGCAGTGATTTTCTAAATCCCACTTCCTTGAATTGGCCCACTAACTCATAAAAAGGACGATCACCGGTTCCAATTGCCCGACCCGACCCGACCCTTTATCCCCTCCTTAATCTAACCCATATTTCTTCCATTTTTATTTTTCTATTTTTCCAATTAAAAATCTATCTCTAATGCCATTTGATACAATTTTCTCAAAATATATTTTAAGTTCGATAAAAGAACCCGACCCGGTGGCCAGTATGGCGGCTTATAGAGCGGATGACGACTACGATTACTTATTCAAGGTGGTGTTGATCGGAGATTCGGGTGTTGGTAAATCGAATTTATTGTCGAGGTTTACGAAGAACGAGTTTAGCCTTGAATCAAAGTCCACAATCGGAGTTGAATTCGCCACCCGAAGCATTCGAGTCGATGATAAGGTCGTTAAGGCCCAGATTTGGGACACCGCTGGACAAGAAAGGTAAGTCTTTTTCTTTATTTTTCTGTTGAATTTTATTATTTCTAATGGTTTTGAATTTTGAGAGATTCGAGGGAAATGAGGTGTTTTTCTTATTGGTGCATTGAATTAGTAGAATGGGTGTTTATAATTTTGGATTTCTGGGGGTCCTATAAGGTTGCCTGAGAAAATGTAGTAAAATTACACTCACGTATTTCTCATATTCTCATTTGTTTTGTTTGTATATTCTTGTATTTGGATTTTTGGGTACATTTATAATTTCTTAGTGATTTGAGGAAAAGAAGATGATTCTTAGATTAGTGTATTGGTTTGGTGAAAAGGGTATTGAGCAATTTGTGTTGTTCTTCCGATTGTTTGGTTGCCAAGAAAATGTGGGAATAAGATGCATTCATTCATGTATTTTTTTTCTTATTAATTTTAAAGCATGTGGACTTGGATTTTAGTTACTTGATAAAAATAAGCTGTGCTTTTAGATTGGTACAAGTTTAAGCCTATGTGAAAGGCACTTTATTGATTAACAGTTTGCAGATTTAATTTGGCATGGAAATTTGCTTTTATTAGATTATATGCAAAATTTCAGTTGGTTTACAAACCAATGAGACGGAGAAAATTCATATATGTTACAACTAGATTCATGAATGAAAAAATTGGGGAAAATTCTCTTAGTAGTTCTAGTTGAGCCGTCGAACTATATTTGTAGCTGTCTTTAGGATATAGATTTGTCAAAGAGGAAACCCTTTGTGTATCCGATTACCGGATCATGTCTTTTTTTGTGGTTTGTTTTAGCAGGATTGTCATTTAAAAAAAATTATTGTTGTATTAGTTCTATAAATTGACCTTGTTCTAGTGTTAAAGTTCATGTGATCCATGAATTTAGGATAGTGTTAAAGTGTCTATTTCAGATTCTTTCTATCCGTAAACTTTGATGCTCGGATTTGAATAAAATGCATCTTTACATTTCTCTAGAGCTCATTAATTGATATTTTTAATTGTAAAAGCTTTATACATACTTCATTTTCTACATTTACAAACCTAATGCCTTTTAAGTTAAATAAAAACCAAGTCGATAAGTTTTATGGAATGAAATGAAAATTCTTTGTCAGCTCTTCTTGAACTCAAATGTTTAGGGTGCTGGAATTTCCAATAGTATGCTATACATAAAGCTCCTAACTGAGTTTGGTTCCATTGAGTCAAGTGTATGCTGTGGAGGTGTTATTAGTGAAAAATGGAAATAGAAATGATTTTATATTTGAATCACACTTTCTCCTGTAAATAGATTGTTCTGATAAGCTTTCTGAGAGTTGATTTATTGTTATGGTATTTTCGAAGATACCGGGCAATTACAAGTGCATACTATCGTGGAGCTGTTGGTGCATTGCTTGTCTATGATGTCACTCGACGTGTCACATTTGAGAATGTTGAGAGATGGTTGAAAGAACTGCGGGGTCACACGGATTCCAATATTGTGATTATGCTTGTTGGTAACAAGGCAGACCTCCGGCACTTGCGTGCCGTTTCCTCTGAGGATGCCACTGCATTTGCTGAAAGAGAGAATACATTCTTTATGGAGACGTCTGCTCTAGAGTCAATGAATGTCGATAATGCATTCACTGAGGTGCTAACTCAAATATACCGGGTAGTCAGCCGAAAAGCACTTGAAGTAGGTGATGATCCTGCAACATTGCCTAAGGGACAAACCATCAATGTCGGAGGCAAGGATGATGTTTCAGCTGTCAAGAGCTCTGGCTGCTGTTCTGCTTAGCGTCGGATGGTTTCGATGTCCTAGTTTCCTCCATTTTTCGTCTCTTTAAGCACAAAACTTTCCTCACTGCTCTACAATCCTTGAGTTTCCCTGAGATTTGAGGTTCAAGACGATGAAAACGTGGTCCGAATTTCCTCCATTCCATAGTTTTGATAGTTTTCTTGTAGTTGATTGGTTTAGAATACGTAGTCCTTTTATTATTTTATTATTTATTTATTCTGAGACAGATCTAATTTTGTATTTTTTAAATGATCTTCATTAGTGATGGAAGATAATATTTGATTGAGCTATTATCTTAATTCTTTCGTAGGTGCCTTTGGATTTAGGTGGAGTGAAAGTTGAGTCGAACCCTTTAACTTTGAATGATACAAGTATTACATTTAATATTGTGTATGATTATAGAAAACTGTTTAAATTAAATTACTAACATTATAAATAGGTTTAATATAAAAATAAGTGTCTAAACTATACACTTTTTTTCATTTAGGTGGCTCAATTATTTTTCTATCAATCTATATGTTTATCGTTATAAACGTTATTATTTTAAGTGTCTTGATCGTAATAGTCATTAAAAAAATCGTTAAATAACACTGCAAATTCCAAATAGCAAAGGCTTTTGGCTAGCCCTACTTCAAACGGTGAACGGTTGATGGGTAGGTGAACGGTCAACCACCATTGCAGTAGGTGTCTCAAATGGCTGGTCGAATGGATTTGACTTAGGGATTTGAATATGTTATTTGGGATTTTAGTATTTTAGTTTAAAGATGGATGAGAGTAAGGAAGAATGATATGAAATGAAATGAATTTCCTTCTCTGTCGTTCTGCTTCTCTTCCTTATTATTCTTATTCTGTTTCTTCTAGTCTTTTATTCTTCTCTATTTCTTCCTCTTTCTATCTTGGTCTATTACAGGGTGGCTATCGACACCGGTGGTGGTGGTCGGAAATGACCAGAAACGGTAGTGGAGGGTTAGAATTAGAGTTTTTAAAGTTTTAAGTTTTTTTTTTTAGATTTTAGAAAAAATTTGGATTTTTTTTTGAAAAATAATACTATTTTTAAAGTTTTTTTAAAGTAAAAGTTTAAAAAAACACACATAACATGTATCACTTAACATAATTTTTTAACGACCATTACGATCAGGACACTTAAAATAGTAATGTTTGTAACATTAAACACTTTGATTGACATGAAAAAGTTTAATCACATAAATGAGAAAAAGAATATAGTTTAGGCATTTTTTTGTATTAAGCCTTAAAATAATTATAATTAAATTTAAATAGAGATTCGTACAATTCGACTCAATTTAAAAAAATTCAAGTAAAATTTTAAGTTATATAATAGGACTCATCAAATCACCTAGCTCAAAATCCTGACTCGATTCAATCCGATTGAATACTAATTTTGACTTGACTTAATCAGATCAAATACTCACACGTTTAACTATGATTACTTACAAAATTATTTATAAATTTAGCTAATGAGATTCATACGGAAAGAAAATCCAAACTTTAGACAGCAGAAACATAGGGAGAAAAATATAACAAATTCAGAATATTAAAAACAATGAAAACTCTTTATAGCTGAAAGTTAATATTACATAATGAGACTGCATAAAAATTGAGTCTGTACAATTGTTTAATAATTACAGAGCCAACCAATAATTGATTGACTGTTAGATATCTGCAAGTTCATGGCAAACAGTTAAGCCATAAGGCTTCCCGGAGAGCTTTCTCCCATCGATTCTGCCGCCATCAACCATTGTATGTAATTTATTCATTTTGCTGGGTTTAAGTCATTCTTCATGTTTTAGACATCCTTGGACTTGGTGGTTAGTGCCTCGGATTTGCAGATGGGGCATACGTTCTTCACGAACACTGACTTAAGCAACCTGCATGAGACTCGTGTCCGCAATCGAGAGTTGTGATTTTCTCTTGGTTTTTGTAATCCTCCTGCAAATTCGAAGAGAAAATGTGTGCTTCAAACTTGAAGAATAACTGATAAAAGCAAGTTTAAAGGTCTTCAGCAAAGAACACTGAATTACCTGGCAAATGATGCAAGAATCGGGTCCTTGATCGATGGGCGCCGCTTCTTCCAGGTTAATATTAGTTACAAATGTTGAATATGTCCTTGTTTTCATTTTTCTCGTCATGGTTTCCTCTGATAATCCAGTGTCCGCATTGCCAATCCGTTCTCCCAGAGCAAGTAGCTCCTGTGGTCATTTGGAAAATTTTCCAGTAAATGGCCGGTAAAGGTAAAATCAAACCCGTGAAAGGACAATATTAATGAACTTTGACTTACCTCATAAGACATGTCCTCTATATCCAACCGCATATCCCTATAATGATTGATGACATTACCGACTTCTTCATAAAATTCTGGGAACTCCAGCATAGCAACTCCCTGCATCGAATCGATCACCATATTTATAAACCAGAAAAGTACCGAGAAATGTCAGTTATATATTTATTCATAGTTTTGGAAAAGCCAATAGACGCAAAAAGTTGAGAAATAACTTTGCATGAATGAAAATTAGTCTCTTACATCTGATGGAAGAACTCTCAGATGAGGAAGATTTCGGTATCTCAAAGTTGTCTCAGGTACACCACTACCCTCTCATCGAGAATGATATATCCTAAAGCCGGTAGGTGGGACGGGTCCCCGATTCCCACACCCCATCTCCAAATCATCCTGTGATGGATTTCAGGTGCTCTGTGAGGCATAAGTTGCAGGAAAGCTATGAGGAGGAGCTGCTGCTACTTGTGGATGACCATTAATGCCGTGGTTTCTTACTCCTTCAGTAGGTGGAACAGGGCGATAGTAGTTATGATTCCGAAGGTCAAGGGAAGGATGTGAGAAGTTTGTCCTATGCCTAGTCTCAATAAGTCCAGCATTAGAACCTGTACAAATACGAGTTTGTTAAGTGTCCAAGGCAACGTGCGTTGTTAAAAACTTAATCCTAAATGACCTCAGTTACATGGAAGCCACCTTCAATGAAAATATATATCTTTAAAAATATATTTTAAATTGAAATTCCTAACAATTTTGGAGGAGAAATACAAGGTTGGAGAAACTACCATGCATATAAGGAACACTAGGAGCTTGAGTCCAAACCGAGGCACCTCCATCTGTTATTGTTGGCTGAAAGGAGTGACCCACATAATTTCCTTGAAAAAATGGTTCGCACCATGCATCAAAAGAGGATCCATGGCAGTTGCCCATAGTCTGTTCCTCACACTTCTTTGGGGTCCTGCATCTATAATAGGTGGTAGGTCGTTTCCCCTACACGGAGGAACAGTGGAAGATGATGCATCAACTGGGCCAATCCCATCAAGGAGCCTGGTATCGAATGGTGTAACTGAGGAACTCGAGCTTGACGAGGAATTAAAGTGCTGAAAATTTCCTGGAATCCCTTCAGAATTCTTTCTCTTATACGAGGCTCTAACATTATATCCATGAAGTGGCAATTCCTTGCATATTCATCAGCAGAAACTCCAAGGAGACCGTAGTTGCTGGAAGATGGCATCTGGTCTATCGGTCCGTGATTTAACGGAACAACAGATGATGAGGTAGCCACACACGGAATGTAAAAGTTGGATGCACTTCCGATACCAAGATCAAGGTTTGGAGAACGATGACGATGTTGAACACCAGGGACAGGGTACTGAGGAATCTCATAGAACATACCGTTTTCATAATGCTCTGGTAAGGGAAGAGTATCAAGACTACTTGTGTTCCCAGGAGCCATGACTGTCATCGGGATATCAGGTGGTGGGTAGTTTGCGATGCCACCCAAAAAGGTGCAGGGCTCATGATGGAGATATCCATGGCCTTGCTTATCCATTTCTAAATGAAATCATATCACTTGGGCATAACATGTTTCTTCGTCCCATGTCGTTCCAATAAATCCTAGCCGTAATTCTTCCCCACTCTAAAATCAAAGAACAAGAAAACTCAGCGCAAACCGAAATTAAAAAAATCAAATCGAAAGTTGACGTTTAATGTACGAAAGAAAAGAAAAAGTTAACTGGCCATCAAACATTTATCCATTCCTTCAAACATAAAAATACAAAATGCAACTAAAAAAGTATAAACAATAATCTCTATATTTTGATTCAGTAAATGAAAATTAGGCAAATATTCAAACCATATCTGAAAACTGGAATAGCATCCTATCCCATTCATTAAACTAAAAAACTTAATTAAGAAATAAGTAGCAAATTACTATCTAATAAAACCTTGTCTATTTACCTGAAATTCATAATAGATGCTCTTATTTCACTAGAAAGACAAAGCATTTTTTTCCAGAAAGTGTATATATATACTTATACATATATACATCATCCAGGTAAAGGCAAGGACATCCTAAAACGTAATCTCGTGCTCTCAATGCTATTCGTTAAACCTCAGATTTACCGAAAGTAAAATCTAATTTTCCACTACTGAAATAGAGACTCAAAAAGATCAAAATATGCAGAAACAAGCATTTTCTTCTTCAAAATATTAGTTCCAAAGGTTGACATTCCTATAAATATGAGACTATCATTCATCTCCTTCCACCTAATCATCAACCATACAATGAAGCATAAACCCTTGGTTTCCCAGAAAAATAAATGCTAAAAAGACCTTATTCACTACCAAATAGGCATATTCATCATCAAAAACTTCAACAGAATTGCAAAACTATATTAAATATGTTGATTCAATTGAAGAAAAAGAAGCCAAAGCAAAAACATTTCAGATTTTTGTTCATAATTATCCTCAAATTTAAGGAGCACAACACAAACTATCAAAACCAAACCCCACCTTTGTTTTTAGAAAGAAAAAAAACTTTTCAAATATCTCCTAATTACACACAAATTTCAAAATTTTCAAAATTATCAAATACCCACTATGTCTCAAACAATCATCAACAGCATGCAAATTCAAAGAAGGATAAGAAAAGGGGGTTTTAAATCTCTTCTGTACCTTATATTCATGAACAAAATCACGAGCAATACCTCTTCTCTTGAAGGAAGCTGAAAGAATCAAAGGAAAAAGATGAGCTTTGCTTCTGTTACTTTGGATTAATCAAAATTCAGACAATGTATATCCATGGGGATTCGAAAACCAAATTAAAAATGCTTAATATCCAAATAAGTGTCCACACCATACTTTTTTTTCGAACAGATGTCTACAGTATTTTTATATCATCTAGGTGTTTAACGTTACAAACGTAATTAATTTAGGTGCTCGAAACGTAACGACTATTAATTTTCTCTGTTAAATAACATGTTTCATAACCTGATAATTTTGAAATTTATTTAAAAAATATTTTTATATTTATAAAAAAATCTTAATTTCTTTTAAATTATAAAAAGCCTCAAAAGCTTCAAAATTCTCAAATTCTAACACTAACCTACCATTGTCGCTCTTTTCGGCCACGACCACCACCGCTAATATAGTTTTTGTCATCATCCTAGTTATACTTCGTCACTGATTAACCGTCGAAATCACCGATTGACAACAACCCGTCTCCTCAAAAATTTTTTTAAAAAAAGAAAGAGGAAAAAAAACAAACTCAGATTCTTGATTTCAGACTAGCAAAATCGAATAAACTAGAAAAACAGACATATATTAGACACATTTTCTATATTTAAGCCATTATAATAATATATAATGTTGAATAGATAAATGTAAGTTGCAAAAATAAAAATAAAAAGTATTTGCTTTCTAAAAGTAAAAATAAAATGAGTAAATTACAACATTTATCATTGAACTTTACTCTTTCTCCTATTTCACTCATTGTGTTTTTAATATTTTTTAATTTACTCACTAAACTTTATAGATTGAATGTTTTTGGTTACTCAACGATGATATGGATTATTATTTTATTAACATTTTAATATTATATAGAATTATAGTAAAAAAATAAATTTAAAAATATTAACTTTTACACTCAAACCTTAAATTCCCAAATTAAAATTAGCACTCTCACGGCATCACCTTCTTCTCTTCTCTCATGACAACACCTTCTTCTCTCAACGGCAACACCTTTTTCTCTCAACTTCTCTCAACGGCAGCACTTCTTCTTCTTCCATCAAGGTTGTCATTCAACATTTGTTTTCGGATGACGAGTGAGCCACCGTCTGTCGGTGGGAGGGTAAACCTATCAAGAGTGAGGGTGGGTGAAATTATAATTTGGGGTTTAGGGTTTAAGATATAATTTAGGAATTTAAGGTTTGGTTTTAAAATTTAAAGGTATAATTTAGTATTATTGAATTTCTTTTTATTTTAATCATATTTGGTATTAAAATATTCATAAAAATATGACATGCCATATAGAAAATAATAAAATAGTCCATGTGACCTAAAAAATTCAATATATATAAAATTCAGTAAGTAAATTAAAAAATTAAAAGTACAATAAGTGAAATAAGATAGAGAGTGAAGTTCAATGATGAATGGTGTAATTTACCCAAATAAAAAATCACAACATTTTAAATTTAATTTGCTCTTCTAACTCATTAGAATGATATCACATTAATTATTTGTGATAACATGAAACTCGTCACAGAATTTGAATTCATTCGCATGATCATATTTCTGAATATAATTTAAATTTAGTAATATTTAAAAAAAAATAAAGATAAAACGAAATTTTAAAACAATTAATATTTGGACGTTCTGAGTGTGCTATAACAATCCTTTCGTGCAAATAATTTTTAAACATATTTATTTTATTTAGTTTTAAACGCATCTATTCGGAATTGTCTTTTTCAAATGATTTTAAAAAAAACTTTAAAAGAATAATTTTATAGATAATCATCAGAATGGTCAATTTCATTTTTAAAAAATATGAAGAAGTTAAGGAAATGTATTTTAGAACCTAAAAAGAGTTTTTACAAATTAAAACAAAATTTCCATGATTACTATAGTGTATATTTCCTTTATTACTATTTTTTATACATCAGTAAATACAAGATAGTATTTATTTAAAGACTCTCAACAACTAACTATGAATTCTCATACCTCTCTCGATGCTCAAACCCGACCTCTAGGGAGAATAACGAGTCCATTAACTATTGCGATCAATTGATTCATACACTATATTAAATAAGCTTAACAATAAAATACAATAAAATAATTTTAAGTCAATCAAGTGACTTCATTAATAGAATTATGATAAAATATTAATCCAATATTACCAACTAAAATTACCATTAATATAATCTTCTGCAACTCACAAAGAGACGTACCAACAAAGTAAATCTTCAGCCTGATAATGTACAAAGTAACTTCAATCCAGGAAAGATATAAAATTATTCCAAGATACATTTAACGCTGGTAATGTACTTCAGCCTGCATTGCACATTTAACACTGATGCATTATGTCAAATTTTATAATAGAAGATTAAAAAAATATTGTAAATGATATGCATTTGATTTCGAATATAAAATATGTTGATCCAATTTCTTTTAAGAAGATAATATTAAATTTTGCCACTTCCACAAAGAGAAAAATAACATCTCTTTATTATTAATAGGATGCAACAGGATGCAATATCAAAACACCATTCAACCAATTCATCACCCCAGACAAGCCAACATGTTCTCTTGGATTACAATTCAAACAATCAAACTTAAAGCTTAAAGGAATTGAAAATAACGTACCACACCATAGAACACAATCTTACAATATATTAATCTCACACCAATTATTAAACAAATGACAGCACAATTTACCATATATTGCCTTCTTTCCCTGTAGAAGAAGAAAATATCGAAAGGAAAAAAAGTTATTTTTTAAAAAATATTCAATTGTAAAGAAAACATTAAATATTTAGAATAAAAAAATATACAGATTTGTTTTGCAAAGGAAAAAGTCAAATATTGAGAAGAAAAATTGAAGTTGCAGCAACTATGAATCATGTTTTATTAAGACAACTGGTTGGAAAACAGACGATTACCTTTTCCATGGATCAAATCCAAATACACAACCCGTCTCCTCCCTGAAATTATTTTAAAAAGAAAGAGGAAAAAAAACTCAGATTCTTGATTTCAGACCTACAAAATTGAGTGATCTTAACTAGAATGAGAATGAAAATGAGAATTTGTCTAAGCTCATTGCTGTGAATTATAACTGTTTAATTGGAATTAAAACAGAGGATAAGAACAGAAGGTAGATCTTGCCGGAATAATTTTGTGCTTCAAATTAGGATCTAAATGTGCAAAGCATATAGCTGTGAATAAATATAAAAGGATTGAGCATTTCCTATAACAAAGATTTAGAAATTACCTCTGAGTTAGTGGTATATCGCCGTTTGTATGTCCTGGAGTTTGACCAAAAATTTTGGACTTTGTCGGAATCTTGTCCTCCTTGCACCACTTTATCAAGGAATTTCTTTGGCATTTTTTTAGTCTCCAGTTCTTGTAGGGTTGTAATGAACCTCAATTCAGCTGGAAGCATCTCTAACTTTTCACAGGATCCAATCTCCAATCGTCGAAGACAAGGCATGGCTCCTTTATCCACCTTCCACTGCTTCAGCTTCTCAAGACCACAAAGGCTCAAAGACTCCAGTTTAGGAAAACCTTGTGCAGAGCAACACATTTGATTTCCAATGAAAGAATTAGAAGTGAACTCAAGAAACCTTAAGTTAGGCAGCTTCTCTAGTGTTGGCATTGGATCTTCCTGAAGCTTGCAACGTCTCAAGAGTATGTAAGCAAGATTTGAAGACAAGTAGTGGTGCTCTGGCAACTTACTTATCACCGCATATATTATCAACTTACAAATGCTACCGCAGCTTGAGAGGAGGTGTGCCAAATGTCTTGGATCTATACTCCAACTGGTAATAGCCAAGGTGTGAAGATATTTACTTCGGATTATGGGTGGATTCTTGTCCAACGCCTTCTCTTTAAAATCTACAATCTCGAAAGGCCCTTGAATCACAAACTCTCTAAGCTTTGTCATGTTGACAAGATCCTTCAGATAACAATTCTTGGTGTTGAAGTTCTCTAGTGTGAGGAGGTTTCTCAAAGTATCCAACCTCAACTTTGTTTTGGTATCACATTCGTCAGGGAGATATAGATGTCTTAGTTGTTCCATCCTCCATAACACATCAGGAACGTGGGGATAAGCATATGAACCGGTTCGTAAATCCAAGGTTTGCAAGCATCTTAAGTTTCCCAGAGATGATGGCAATTTTTTACCGAGTATGAGTCTGTTTAGACTAGAGAATCTTAAATGAATGAGATTCCCAATATCACCGATTAACTTGCAATTCATAAATGCCAGCTCTCCTTCATAGTTTAGAACTCTGAGCAATTTCAAATTGATGAATATATGTACCCAAAATCCCCGAGCTTTTAGAAAACTAATATATGCAGCCCAAATATCCCAAAAACAACGCAGCGGACTGAATGGACCTACTATACAGGCCAAAGGTGTTTCTACATAAAATAACTCTCTTAGCTTCCTTGAATTAAAGAAGGAAAGTGATCGAAGATTTGGACATCTATTGTACTTTGTCTCAAAGATCTCATGCATAGAAACTCTGCGAACCTTTCGAATTGTGGACAACGAGAATGCATTTGACTTATCTACAATGAAGACGAAGTTCTCTTCTTTTGCCTTTGACAGGCAAAGGTCTCTTATTAGGTCATGCATCTGAATTGTTTCGACCTTTGAGGTTACAACGTCTCTGCTTCGTACTTGAATCATGCACCTTTCCGCAAGCTCCGCTAAGTAATGCTCTGCCACATCTTCTGCGACTCCCCACTCCCCGTCTCCTTCTTCCTTTGATGAAACTATACCTTCAGCAACCCATAACTGAATTAGTCTATACACACGTATCACATAATCCTCTGGGAAATGACTTAAATAAAGAAAACAGGATCTTAAATGGGCAGGTAAGTCATCATAACTTAATGCTAACACTTCCATAGTTCCTTGGCCTTCGACTTTGCTTCTGTTCAAGTATGATTTAACATTTTCACTCACTCTATCCCATTCATTCAATGAGCTTTTTGTAGCCAAAATTCCTCCCAACACAACTATGGCTAATAGCAACCCTCCACATTGTTCAACCATTACTTTTCCCAACTTCTTTTTCTTATCATCAACTGTATCATCAGCACATTGTTTACCCTTGTCTTGTCTCAACTCCTTTATCTCACCATCAACCGTATCATCTGCACGTCGTTTGCCCTTATCTTGTCTCAACTCCTTTATCTCACCATCAACCGTTTTATCTGCACAATACGAAGGGCTCAATGATTGCTACTCAAAATCAGGAATGAACATCTTTTTTATATAGATTTTCATAGGTAAAATGTCTATAAATACATTTGGAATGAACATTGTTTTGAACACCTACAATAATAGTGGTCCACCTATAGTTTTATTTTCTTTAAATAATAGGAGGAATTAGAAAGTAGATGATCCAGAGATATTAAGAAGTTCCTACACTATGGCCAAGTGCAATTATTTAGTGATAAAGAAAATATATATATTTTTTAAATGGCAGCTAAGTTGATTAGTTGTCAGGAGAATCTCTTAGAAAATAATACTTATCTTTGTCTTAGAAAATAATACTTCCCACCGCACGGTTCATGAACGGTTCGCTGAACGTTCAGTTCATTTGCAGGCCTAACCTAAAATAATAGTGGTCCACCTATAGTTTTATTTTCTTTAATTAGATGATCCAGAGATATTAAGAAGTTCCTACACTATGGCCAAGTGCAATTATTTAATTATAAAGAAAATATATATATTTTAAATGGCAGCTAAGTTGATTAGTTGCCAGGAGAATCTCTTAGAAAATATTACTTTTTTTTTGTCTTTATATTATATACGTTAAGCACGCAAACAGTCAAATTTGTTTTTTCGTTTCAAAACCCAAGGCATAGTTTATTACCTCAATCAAACAATTAATTATACATTTGTTATCATTGTTAAATATCTTACAATCTAGAAAATATGTCCAAATTATTGCAAATGTCAACAAAAGAATTTTCAAGCATAGTTTATATGTTATTATATTGAATAATTATTATTATGATTAATTTTGTCTTTATATTGAATAAGTTAAGCAAGCAGAAACAGCCAAATTTCTATTTTTTTATTTACAAGCCAAGGAATATTAAAATTGGAGATGCAAATGTTGGATCAAACTAATCCTAAATGAGGTACATGAACCATTTTGACTAAGTTTTATGTTTATATTAATCAAAATTATTATCCCAATCAAACAATTAATTATACGTATTTGTTTTAATTATTGCAAAATATATTTGAAGCTAGAAAATGTCCAAATCAAAGTATAATTTATTTGTTTGTCTTGCTTGAACACATAGTCGCATAAACTACTTAAGAAACTAAGCATAATATATATATATATATATATATATATATATATATATATCAAGAATTAATGATATAATTTTTTTATTTACGGGAGCAAACATATTTAGTAGGTTGATTAAGTTGTTCATCTTTGTTCCCCATATTCTCTTTGTTTATGGGTTCTAGACCCACTAGGAGTGCTTCCCTTTAGGTAGGAGTAGGATTAGATATAAAATTTATCAAAATAATTTATCTATGTATAAGTATCTATGTAAAATATTTTAATTTATTATTACTACTTAGTTCTAACAATATCACTTATATTATTTTAAAAAATATAATATAAAAGATATTAAATTTATAAGGCCTTGTTTATTTAACCTGCACTAATGACATGTTTGGACGTCGTAGTATAATTATAAGAAAGTATCATTAATTGCACTTTCAATTAATTACAATTAATTTTAATTTTCAAGATATATTTAATTAATAAAATGTAGTTACACACAATTAAGTGAGATTTATTAATTAAAAATGAATAAATGTTTAGAAATTATCATTATTAAAATATATTTCCTTCAATTATCACTCTCTAAGTATAGGAGAATATAATTTGAAAGCTTCAATTACAGCCAATTTGGGGCTCAATTACAATGATTAGCTAGCATGCCACTCATGTATAATTATACTCAAATCCAAGTATATTATAGTTTTCCAAATACATATTATTTAAAAAGAAATTGATTTGTTGTCAAAAATCTAATGAAACAACATAAAAAATAAGTTTAAGGTATAGAGTAGAATGTTGCTATATGCATATATGATGGTAAATAACTTTGCAATGTACACATACGTACCTGTAGAATCTGATGGAGGAAACGCAATCTTTTCGAACAATTCCCAACTTTCTTGAGGGTTCAAAATTGGCAACTTATACAAATAAACGCTTGCATCTGCATGGGAAATTATCGTTTCTGTTCGAGAGGAGAGCAATATCTTACTATTGCTATGGTCCGCTGCAGATGGAAACGCAGGTTTGAGGCGATCCCAAGCCTTGGTGCTCCAAACATCATCCAGTATTACCAAACACTTTTCAAGTTTCAACAAGTCAAACAACTTGCTCGCTAATGCCTCGTCGTTCAGCTTCCTGTCATTTTCACCAAATTTTCCCAAACCAGATATTTAAATAACTCAAATAACTCAAATAACTCAAAAGTTTTTAGTAAGTATATATATATATATATCACATGAAAAATCATGAGGAAATATATATGTATGTCATATACGATTATAGAAAGATATTTAAATTAAAATTTAATTGTACCATAATATTATCTCGAATTAGAGCATGAATACTAGAAATACAAGCGTTCAATGTGTAATCATAGTCGTTATTTTGACCTGTTTATTTTTTTTACTCCTTCAAAATTAGTTTCATTTATTTATTTGTGTATTCAATTATTAGCATTATTTATGTATTCATTTAATTATTTTAAAAAATATTATGTGTTATTATTATTATTGATGCTGCTTAAACCCTTTTTATGTGTCATTTTGAAAAAGATGATGTTACCACGCTCAACGAGTACGAATGAGCACCGTTAATGATGAGCATCATTAAATTAATTTATAAAGTACTAAACATACAATTATAAATTAGTTAAAAATCTAAATGTAATTTAATTAAAATACAATATTTATAAAACATTAGTTTTTAGGGTAAAATATATCATTGACTACCTAACTATTTACCCCTTTTACTTTAACCACCGATTTTTTAATTTTGTTAATCAGGTCACCTAACTATTTAAATTATGTCAAACAAGTCATCTATCGTTATATATTAAAGGAGGAGATGACGTATCAATTAATAAAATTTATATAATTACCCAATTAGTCCTCATTACATACATATTCTATTAATTTGGTCATAACTTTTATTTATTCAATAAATTTAATCATCAATTTGATGGTGACATGTGTTACTGTGTGATTGGATGTTTTTTAATATTTTTTATTTTATAAAATTTTCATTCAATCAAATTGTGCCATGTGTCACCAATTGAATGAATGAAAAATAATCTAAATCAATAACTGCAACTAATAGGGTTTGAACCTAGGATGCAAGCCAACACACTAAGCACCTTAACCACTAAACTATAATATGAAATAATTGACCTTATAAAGACTCAAACATGATATAATTGAATAGTATGAAAATATAAAAAATATATAAACAAATAATATAATTAATTAATAAATGAATATGTTTTTATTTATATTCTAAATCACATTTAAAATAAAAATTAAAATAAAAGTGAATTTAATATGTTATAATTGAAATGTATCATTTTACATATTTTAAATTAATAAATTGTCTTCGTTATTCTAATTTTATTGAACGGAAATATATCATATCTTATATTTTAAAATATTATAACATCGAATCGGATTATAATTTTATTTAACAACTCTATATTAAAAACAAACTAGTTCAATAAAACCAAGTTTTCCTTAAAATTGTCTTCAAATATATAATTAATAAATAATAAAATATAAAATTCTTACATTAACTGGGATGCAAACAAGTCAATGCATAAGTTAAAATATTTAGTATGATAAGCCCTCAACTATCAGGAAAATTCAAAGTCAATGAAGCTTTTCGTTATATTTCAATTATAATATATTAAAATTATTTCTTTTTTTCTTTAAAATAATTTAAAATATAAATAAAATACATTCACATATTAATCAATTATAATATTTGTATATATATATTATCGTATTATTCAATTATTCCATGTTGAAGTTCTTATTAGGCCATTTTCCCCTTTTTTATTTCCATTAACTATATATATTATGTTGTAATAGGTTTGTCATTTGAATGGTGCAGTCTAGTAGTTGGGGTGTTTGCTTCCTGTCCTCATGTCTTGGGTTAAAACCCCACACAGTAGTTGGGTTAAAACCTCTAAGGCATTTACTCTATACTTTCATAGTTCTTTGTTATTTGTTCTCTTTGTGTTGTTGTTTTTTCTTGGTGGCCATGAGTAGCCACGCTTGTGTTTGCACTTCAACACATTAGTCCGACCTTGGTGGCTTGGAGTAGCCACGTTGGTGTTAAAGCTTCCGCAATCCTAGAAGCCTTGAGGGCTTGGTTCCAACCTTTGTGAGTTTGCATGCTCAATTAGCTTGGGTAAGGCTTACTTAGTCGCAGAGAAGACCAAGAAGTGTCTAAGGCCGCACGACCCGTCATGCATTAACTCTGATTTTCCGACAGTTTGGGCTTGAAGGCTCTGAGGGCGTGACAAGCAGTGGTTATTGATTCAATTTATTTTCTATTCATTCAATTGGTGACACGTGGCACCATTTGATTGGATGGAAAATTTATTAAATTAAATAAAAATATTAAAAAAATCCAATCACATAGTGACACATGTCATCATCTGATTGAGGATTAAATTTATTGAATTAATTAAAAGTTAGGACCAAATTAATAGGATGTGTAAGTAATGAGGACTAAATATGTAATAATACAAAATTTATTAAATGCCACGTCATCTCCTCTGTTTATATTAATGGCAGGTGGTTTGATTGACAAGATTTAAATAGTTAAGTGACCCGATTGTCAAAATTAAAAAATCGGTGATTAAAGTAAAAGGGTAAATAGTTAGGTGGTCAATGGTATAATTTACTCTAAAAACTAATGTTTTTATAAATTTTGTATTTTAATTAAATTACAATTATATTTTTTAACTAATTTATAATTATATGTTTAGTACTTTATAATTTAACGTTTTATAAATTAATTTAATAAACTCATCGTTAACCGTGCTCATCTATACTCGACCATCGTCGTAGAATTTTTCTTTTAAAAAACATGTACATCTCACAGACTTCTTTCAAAATTTGAGACAAAATTGTTATATCACGATGATCGACGACGTGGTATCCTAATTTCCTGGAATGCTGTAATTTCGTTAATTATTTATAATATGATGTCATTCTTTATAAACATTCTCATCATCAGTTTTAAAATAAAATATAATATTATTTTATTGTTATAATTAACGAGATGATTTCCTAATTTACTGAAATATTATATCGTTAATTATTTGAGTCTTTAAGATATGAGGACATCCTTCACAAAAATTCTCATAATCACTTTTACAAAATATAAGACAATATCATTTTATTATGTTAATTAATAAGGTGCGTCTTCTAATTTATCAGAATGCTATCCCATTAATTATTTGCGATAGAAGCAAATCCTTCACAAAATTTGAATTCATTTACATTATCATATATTTTTTAAATGAATTAAATTTCGTAATATTTTTTAAATGAATTAAATTTCGTAATATTTTTTTAAACAAAGATGACACAAGATTTTAAAGGAACCAATATTTGTACATTCTGATTATGCTATAACAATCTTCACATACAACCAACTCTTAAACATATATTTTAAAAGGATAATTTTACAGATGATGATCAGAATAATCGTTGGCAACTTCATTTTCAAAAAAAACGAACAATTTAAAGAAATATTAGTAAAAGACACAATTGTAGTTTATTAATAATATATTTTATGATTTTTAGGTAATCATAATTAATAATTAATATTTCAATACAATATAAATTTTATATTTAATTTAAAATTTATCAAATGTGAAAGATATTTAATTAAAAATGCGCCACTTGGAAAATTAGGGGAAGACTAAACAATTAACTTCTTGAGCTGGATTAACGGCCTAACAGGTAATAAAGATCAGGCTATAATTACGGGAATAAAATGATTCACTAAAATATGGTGCGGTGAATCAAGAACGAGCTGTTATAAGACGTTATTTTATTAGGTCATTTGATTATTAAAAGTTACAAAATAGTCTTTTGATTATAGGGTGTTGTTTTGTTGAGTTCATCGATTATTAAAAGTTAGAAAATGATCATCCGAGTATTCATATGTTCGAAACTTGTCTTTTTTCGTTAAAAATTTAACGTTCGTCTAAACTAGACGTTAACACGTTGATTAAGATATGATAAAATTATATTTTAATGGTGTTTATTAATACCGAGTTTTCCTGGATCCTCCGGTAGAATTGTTAAATTTCTTGTTTTTAGATAGAAACACCTCCGGGGCATTAAGTTATAGTTAGGTAATTTATTTCCTCCTTTTTCAAAAAAAAAATGTGAGGTTTGAAAAATTGTGGTTAAACTAAACAATTAACTCAAGTGAGATGGATTAACAGGTAAAAAGGCAATGTTATAATTAAGGGAACAATTAGTAATGGACATGATCGTAGTTTATTAGTAGTATATTTTATGATTTTTATGTAATCATCAATAGGATGGGAAGACTATAAAAAGTGATCATCATGGGTCTTATTTAATTGAAAAGGCGCCACTTGGAAAATTAGGGGAAAACTAAACAATTAACTCGGTGAGTTGGATTCACATAAATATAGTGCAGTGAATCAAGTACGAGGTGTATTAGTAAAAAGGGTAAAGTACACAAATGGTCACTTGACTATAAAACGTTCTTTTGTAAAGTCTTTTAATTATGGAAAATTACAAAATAATCTCTCCATTATAAGATGTTGACATGTTGTTATGTTGAGTTCTTACTATTAAAAGTTACAAAATGAACATCGAGTATTCATATGTTCAAAACTTATCTTTTTTTTAGGGAGGGAGCTAGAAATTTCTTTTGAGTGTCAAAATTAGAAATTATATAAAAAAGTAAGTGGATGAAAATGAATAATGGGTGTCATTTTATGTTTAAAGTATTCATTTCTTAAAATATATATTTATTTTATTTTATATTTTTATATTAAATTTATAAAAAAATCACATTTATTTGATTGGAGGTGGGAGTAAATAAAGTTCAATTTCATTTTAAAAAATAATTTGTTTTATTTGATTTGATTTTATAAATTTGATTTGATTCGAAAAAAATTCGAATGAAGTTTAATTATAAAATAACTCAAATAACTCAAAATTTTTAGTAAGAATATATATATATATCACATGAAAAATAATGAGGAAATATATGTGTATATCGTATATAATTGTTGAAATACATTTAAATTGAAATCAATTGTACCGTAATATTATCTCGAGTTCAATCACAAAAAACACTAAGAATACAAGCGTTCAACGTCAATTGTACTCATAATCGTTATTTTGACTGTTCATTTTTTACTCCTTCAAAATTAGTTTCATTTATTTATTTGTGTATTTAATTATTAGCATTATTTATGTATTCATTTAATTATTTTAAAAAAATTATGTGTAGCTTAAACCCTTTTTATGTGTCATTTTAAAAGGATGATATTGTCATCTCGACGAGCACTGATGAGGATCGTTAAATTAATTTATAAACATTAAATTATAAAGTACAAAACGTATAATTATAAATTAGTTAAAAATCTAAATGTAATTTAATTAAAATACAATATTTATATAACATTAGTTTTTAGCTAAAACTATACCATTGACCACCTAACTATTTATCCTTTTTACTTTAACCACCAATTTTTCAATTTTATTAATCAGGTCACCTAACTATTTAAATCTTGTCAATCAGGTCACCTGCCGTTAAATATTAACGGAGGAGATGACGTGGCAGTAAATAAAATTTACATAATTACACATTTAGTCCTCATTACTTACATATTCTATTAATTTGGTCTAACTTTTATTTAATTCAATAAATTTAATCCTCAATCTGTTAGTGACATGTGTCACTGTGTAATTGGATGTTTTTAATATTTTTATTTTATAAATTTCTCATCCAATCAAATGGTGCTAAGTGTCACCAATTGAATGAATGAAAAATAATGTAAATCAACACCCGCAGCTAGTAGGGTTTGAACCTGGGATGCAAGCCAAAAAACTAAGCATCAGACATGAAATAATTGAATAGTATGAAAATATAAAAATATATAATCAAATAATATAATTAATTAATAAATGAATATGTTTTATTTATATTTTAAATCACATTTAATGTAAAAATTAAAATAAAAGTGAATTTAATATGTTATAATTGAAATGTACCATTTTACATATTTTAAATTAATAAATTGTCTTCATTATTCTAATTTTATTAAAATGAAATGTATCATATCTTATATTTTAAATATTATAACATCGAATTGGATTCTAATCTTTTTTAACAACTCTATGTTAAAATAAAATAATTCAATAAAATCAAGTTTCCCCTAAAATTTTCTTCAAATATATAATGAATAAATAATAAAATATAAAATTATTACATTATCTGGGATGTAAACAAGTCAATGCATAAGTCAAAATGCTTAGTACGATAAGCCCTTAACTATGAGGAAAATTCTAAGTCAATGAAACTCTTCATTATATTTCAATTATAATATATTAAAATTATTTTTATTTTTTTTCATTAAAATAATTTAAAATATAAATAAAATACATTCACTTATTAATCAGTTTTAATATTTGTTTATATATATATATATATATATATTATTGTATTATTCAATTATTCCATATTGGAGTTCTTATTGGGCCATTTTCCTTTTTTTATTGCCATTAACTATATATATTATGTTGTAATAGGTTTGTCATTTGAATGGTGCAGCCTAGTAGTTGGGGTGTTTGCTTCCTCTCCTTATATCTTGGATTCAAATCTCACCAGCAGCGGTTATTGATTCAATTTATTTTCTATTCATTCAATTGGTGACACATGGCACCATTTGATTGGATGAACAATTTATTAAATTAAATAAAAATATTTTAAAAAAACCCAATCACATAGTGACACATGTCACCATCTAATTGAGGATTAAATTTATTGAATTAATTAAAAGTTATGACCAAATTAATAGGATGTGTAAGTAAAGAGGACTAAATGTGTAATTATGAAAATTTTATTAACTATCATCTCATCTCCTCTATTAATATTTAGCGGCAGGTGACTTGATTGACAAGATTTAAATGTTTAAGTGACTCAATCGACAAAACTAAAAAATCGATGGTTAAAGTAAAAGGGGTAAATAGTTAGATGGTCAATAGTATAATTTACCCTAAAAACTAATATTTTATAAATTTTGTATTTTAATTAAATTACATTTAGGTTTTAAATTAATTTATAATTATACATTTAATATTTTATAATTTAATATTTTATAAATTAATTTAATGAACTCATTGTTAAACGTGTTCATCTACACTCGGCGAGTTATCGAAACGATTTTTAAACGGTGTGGAAAAGCGCGTTATTTTTAATTATTTTCTTTTCAATTGAATTTTTAATTAAAAACAATGCAATTTTAGAAAATCTCTCGTTTCGAAAAAATTGGAAATTCCTTTATGATAAAAATATAAGGTTCGAGGAGTCGCCACCAATCTTTGATTAGGGTGTGATTGGGCACCCAAAAACGTTGTCATTTTAAATAAAAATTAATTTTAATTAAAATAACAAATTAAGGTCTGCGTTATCAAAATCTGAGTTCGGGAGTCGGTTACGCGTGGGGAAGGATTAGCACCCCCACAACGCCCTAAATCGGTACCTAGTCAATTAATTAATGTCTTTGCAACGAATTTCACAAGTTCGAGTTTAATTTGATTAATGATCCCTTTAAACAATAAAAATGCAAATTTGTAACATTGAAAAGCAACAAAATATGTTAATTTAAAATTACCAAGTCATTAGAAAGATAAAGGATATTCGATTATTTAAAAATATCGAGACCAGATCTTTAGGTGAGTTCTAACGATCTTATCTCAAATAATTTAAATAGCCGAATATTTCTTTTTCTTTCACTCACAAATTTTAAAGTAATTAATCAATTATTTTGGTGACACTGTTGGGATACACTTTTAATTTAAAATCGTCAAAACGACCCTCTAGTAAGTTAAGAGAAGCCATTCTGATAGTTTTAAATTAAAAGAGTATTACCCTTAATCCGATTATGTAATGGTGTCGGATCATGCTTATGAGGATATCATGCAAATTATGCAAAAAGGATGTTAATGCAAAAATTAATTAAACATGATATTAAAATAAATGAAGCTAACATGCTTATAAAAATAAATTACACCGACATCTATGTGAATTACATGCTCAAAATAATATACATTTGCATACATTTAAAAGAAATCTAAATTAACCCTATAAACATGCATAAAATGTTAGACAAGGACTAAAATGTAAAGAACATGAACAACAAGATCCTTTCAAAAAAAAAATCATTCCCAAGTACTGCAAATATAATATAACCAAAGTTCTACAAAGGACCAAATTGAAAGTTTTCCAAATTACACATCCAATGTAAAAACGGTAAGAAAATAACCATAATATGAGACTGGACTAAAATGAAACACGCGGAAAGTTATGAGGCGAAATTAGAAAGGAAAAAATATGAAATATGGACTAAAATGCATTAAAGGAAAACAGAAGGATTTACGATACAAATAACCCGTCCAGGCGCTGAAACGGGAGCTCCTCACCCCTGATGGAACGACGCCGCTTTATACACCCTTAAACGCCGTCGTTTTAACACTCTAAAGCGACGTCGTTTTGGTCACGGGATTGGCGCTGGGGTAAAATGCTTACCCTAAAATCAGATTCCCCTTTCACTTTAGCAAAACAAGACCTGCCGCTTCTACTCTCTCCTTCAAGCTTCTCTTCTTCGAACGAGAACCACGAAGGCTCAATTCAACACCGTCGATGGGTCACTAATGGCCCCACGACTTCATCCGGCCACCGCACGTCCATCATGGTTCGACGCCTCGTCCTTTTCTAACCACACTCGGGCGAGACTCCAACAGGTTCTAACGCCGCTGCCTAAACGACCATCAATCGGCAAGTACAAGCCTCAACCCAAAATCTGGCCATCATCAACAACCACCAAGGACACCAGATCCCAACTACCGTTTATTGGCCATCTACCCTCGATCGACGCTGTCAAGGGCCTCCTCCGATGAAGACTTTGGCGTAGATACTCATGAACAAAGGTAACCCGAAATTCCCTAACCTTGAAAATGATTCGCTTTACTGTTGGGTTGTTGATATAAGCAAAAATAGGGAATGATGTCTTGTTTGTATTGCTTGATTTCAGAAGAAATATGGGCAAAAACCACTGTTACATTATTTGATTCACAAATACTGTTTTTCTTGCTCTACAATGGATTTCCCCTCTCTGTTTTTTTGCTTAATACTCGAATGGTTGATGATGAGCTCCTTGATTGATGCGTGTTTTCTCTGGTTGTTCACCGCCGTTCCTCGTTGTTCATGACCCCCTCTCCCTTGTTGGTTTTTTTTTCCGTGCTCTGCTGTTCGTGAGCTCTCTATTGGTATCCTTCTTTCCCTGCTCTAATGTTCTTTGCTTGTTCTCCAATTGATCACTGACCCCTTCTGCTCGAAATGGTTACCCCTGTTCCGAATACCCTTCCTCTCTGGTCTCCCCCTCATTTTTGTAATGAATCCCCTCTTTTTTCCTTTAAAGCTCCCTTCTTTTTGTTGATGATGAAAAACGCTCTCCCCGATGGCCTCGAGAATTGCTTTTGTTTTCTGCTTCCTCTTTAATTATGTGTATCCCTGCTAATGAAGTAATGGGCGTTGCAGGGTATGGGCATGAGCTGTTGGTGGTGTTTGCTCGGGGTGCCGAGCCTTGTCTGTCGCGCTTCACGTGGGTGGATGGTAAGCCCGGGTTGGAAATGGTGAAGGCACGGGCACGGGTTGGAAATGGTGAGCTCGTGATGGTTTCTGCTGAGGGTTGTTACTGGCCTAACGTGATGTTTCAACCGGGTGTTCCAGGTTGTAAGTGGAGTGATCGGCACAAACTGACGCAGTGGGAGTGCTGCTTCATATTGACGTGGGCGCTCGGTTATGCGTTTCACGTGGGAGACACTTAGGCGTTGTGGAGCATGGGCAGCCAGGCCATGTCTCAGTCTTCACGGGCGTGGTGCTTGGCAGTAGCATGGGCTTCCTTGGGAGGCATGATCTGTTGCAGTGGATGAGTGCTTCACATTGGGTGCACGTGGGAGGAGTCTGCTGTTGGGTGTTGTATCCGGGTCGGATCGGGTTAAGCTTGGGCCTTGTAACCGGGCTAGATATTTGTAATCTATTTTAGACTTGTATGTGGACTTTGGACTAAACATTTAATTTGGATTCCGGATTAGCTTGGGCTTCAATTTAAATCTTGAATTCCAAAATGAAACAAACATGTTACAATCCAATTAAGCATCAAGATTTCTTGATTTTCATGTTGTCCCCAAAATGCAAGCTTCCATTCATCATTTGAATTAAATTCTCATTTGAGCACGATTACCTCCAAATTAATTCTCAAGCATCTTTAAATGAATTAAATTGCCCGGACAAAATTAGGGTATTACAGCTGCCCCTCTTTGCTCGTTGTTGTGACCAGAAGAACGTAGCAAAGACAAATAATGACCTAATTTAGTCCAATTGCAACATCATTTTTCCTTTCTTCAGTCTTCTTTTTTTACCTTTGCTTCCATCTCACTTGCACAAACCCTTTTAATGGATTGTTCTGCTTCTTCGTATCCGAGAATCTTCGATTTCTTCCTACATCTGATGGTCTGATGGTTCGCTCCAACACTATTCTGAAAAAGACCGAAGGTCTTATGGATGGTTTGCTTCACTGCTATTTTAGGGTGAGTCTTGAAAAGAATCTTCTAAAAATAGGTTCGCTCCCTATTGCTTCCAAGGAGTATGGAACTCGAATAATCTTTAACAATCGTGTCTGCCCCCTATTTCTTCAGAGAGTATAAGACCCACAATCTTCATCAATCGCATCTACCCTCTATTTCTTCAGAGAGTATAAGACTCGAACAATCTTCAACGATCGTGTCTGCCCCCTATATTTTCAGAGAGTATAAGACCCATAATCTTCATCAATCGCGTCTGCCCCCTATTTCTTCAGAGAGTATAAGACTCGAACAATCTTCAACGATCGTGTCTGCCCCCTGTATCTTCAGAGAGTATAATACCCACAATCTTCATCAATCGCGTCTGCCCCCTATTTCTTCAGAGAGTATAAGACTCGAACGATCTTCAACGATTGTGTCTGCCCCCTATATCTTCAGAGAGTATAAGACCCACAATCTTCATCAATCGCGTCTGCCCCCTATACCTTCAGAGAGTATAAGACCCACAATCTTCAACAAATGGGTTCGCTCCCTATTTCTCTAGGGAGTATGGAACTCAGACATATTCTTCAAACGGGTTCGCTCCCCCTTTCTCTAGGGAGTATAGAACTCGAACATCTTCAACTGGGTTCGCTCCCTCTTTCTTCAGGGAGTATAGAACTCAAAAATCTTCTTCTTACGGGTTCGCTCATTCTCTCTCTAAAGAGTATGAAACTCGAACAATCTTCAACAATCGTGTCTGCTCCCTATTTCTTCAGAGAGTATGAGACTCGAACAATCTTCAACAATCGTGTCTGCTCCCTATTTCTTCAGAGAGTATGAGGCTCGAACAATCTTCAATAATCGTTGGGAAATCTGCAAACATTTAAAATAATCATGCAATGTCATGATCCTATTCATGCCTACGATGTATGCAATTATGCAATTTAATGCACTTTCTTCTTCGAAAGAATACTATCCCCTTTGATTTCAATGGAACTCGGTTTCGCTTTGGGCATAGAGCATTTCACCCATTCACCCCAGTTGATACTCTCAATACTATAACTTTTGGCTTGACAAGACTTTGACTTCTTTCTTTCTTGAGGCCTGCCAGTACCCCTGACCAATCTTCTTGATAAATGACAACATCCTTGGGTCATCCATTAATGGCTAAGATTGTCTATGAATTCCAAAGTTTTAGCTTTTCGCAACCCTACAAGCTTATGGGTAAAACCATTACTAGCTTCAGAATACCTGCATTTCCAAAACCTTTTGCATAATAATACAAAATGATCTCATGTACCACAAGTTAAGCTATACGTTTTAACTTTTTCAAAATTAGATGCTTGTAAAAGGGAAATTAAGAAGGGAAAATATCTCTTTATTTATATAAATGCGAAGAATTTTTAGGCAACTACATGACAAACTTTTAATCGGAAAAGAACCAAAGGATAGGTGTCTTCAAATATCAATAACACAAATGCTTTTGGACTGGCACGCCGTCAGAATGACTCGGGTGTAGCTTCTGTCAAAAGGACCTCCAAAATGGTGATGACACCTAAGAGTGTGAAACCCTTTCTGGACCCCAAAATCTCCCATAATTGGATGCCATAAACCAATATTGAATCTCACGTGCATTCAATTCCTCCTCTGGTTGTCCCCATCGAGACTCATTGATCTTTGGTCTCAACCCCAATGGCCATTGTCGTTACCCATGTCAGGAGATCTTCCTACTCCCCAAAAACAATTCAGATCCTCCACCATACACGAACTCTGAATTTAAAACTCAAATCGCCCTTTGTGGGTTTTCGACTCGACCTCCTTTGGTTTCAAGACGCCCTTTTTCGAGTTTTCATCTTGAACCCTCATTTTTCATTTTTCATTCATTTTTTATTTTTTTATTTTTTCATTTTTTCATTTTCACTCATTTTTTCTTCTTCTTTTTTCTTCAAGCAAAATACTTCTTAACTGTGTCAGAATTCACTAGATGAGGTAATTCAGACCCATCCATCTCAGTTAAGACCAGAGCTCCCCTAGAGAAAGCTTTCTTGACAACATAGGGTCCTTCCCACTTGGGCATCCATTTCCCTCGGAAATCTTTTTGAATGGGCAATATCCTCCTGAGCACCAAATCTCCTTCGTGGATTTCTCGAGAGCGAACTTTCTTATCATGTGCTCGTATCATCCGCTTCTGGTATATCTGACCATGACAAATAGCCTTCAATCTCTTTTCTTCAATCAGATTCAATTGGTCATATCTGGCCTGTACCCATTCTGCCTCATTTAGCTTCACCTCTGATAAAACCCGGAGCGAGGGAATTTCCACTTCAATAGGGAGGACAGCTTCCATCCCATAAACTAGAGAAAACAGAGTTGCCCCAGTAGACGTCCGTACAGAAGTCCGATAGGCAAACAGAGCAAATGGCAACTTCTCATGCCAATCTTTATAAGTTTCAGTCATCTTCTCTATAAGCCTCTTAATGTTCTTATTAGCCGCCTCCACTGCCCCATTCATCTTTGGGCGATAAACCGTGGAATTATGATGCTTTATTTTGAATTGATCACATACAGATTTCATCATCTTGTTGTTTAAGTTCAACGCATTGTCAGAGATAATTCTCTCTGGTAAGCCATATCTGCAGATGATTTCTTTCTTCAAGAACCTACATATCGTTGACTGGGTAACACTTGCATAAGAAGCTGCTTCTACCCACTTGGTGAAGTAATCTATTGCTACCAGAATGAAGCGATGACCATTTGACGCTTTCGGAAAGATTTGCCCAATAACGTTCATGCCCCACATAGAAAACGGCCACGGAGCTGTCATCACGTGCAACGGATGAGGAGGGGTGTGCATTCTATCCCCATAAATCTGACACTTGTGACACTTTCGGGCATAATTGACGCAATCAGTTTCCATAGTTGACCAATAATACCCAAATCTCATAATCTGTCTGGCCATTACATGCCCATTAGCATGGGTGCCACATATTCCTTCATGTACTTCTTCAAGAATCATTTTCGCTTCTTTAGTGTCCACACACCTTAATAAGACCTGATCCATGCTTTTCTTATATAAGATCTCACCATTAAGCACATACCCTGCTGCCATTCTTCTAATGGTCCTTTTGTCATTCTCAGTTGCCTGTTCGGGGTAACTTTGATATCTTATATACTGGAAGATATCATAGTACCAAGGTCCTTCATCATCTTCTTCTTCAATGTTAAAGCAGTGGGCTGGATACTCATAAGCCTTCATCTCAATAGGCATCATATTTGAATGCTCGTTCATCTTAAAGGCTGCTGCCAAAGTAGCCAAGGCGTCCGCCATTTGATTTTCTTCTCTGGGGAGGTAATTGAAAGTCACTTCTTCAAATTCTTCAATAAGTCCCAGAACTAATTTACGATATTCCACAAGTTTGGGATCCTTGGTTTCCCATTCACCTCTGAGCTGGTAAATTACCAAAGCTGAATCCCCATATACCCTCAGCATTTTTGCGTTGAGTTCAATAGCTGCTCTAAGACCCATAACACAAGCCTCATATTCTGCCATATTGTTTGTACAATCAAAATTGAGCCGACTGGTAAAAGGATAATGCTCTTCACTTGGTGAGACCAAGATTGCCCCAATCCCATGCCCCAAGGCGTTTGAAGCACCATAAAAGTTCATCTTCCAGTATTTACCGGTGAGAGCAATTGTTTCTTCCTCCGAGATAGCCATTAAATCCTTATCCGGGAAATCGAAGTTCAACTGTTCATATTTTTCTGAAGCCCTACTCGCAATGAATTCTGCTATGGCGCTCCCTTTAACTGCCTTCTGGC